AGAAAATAATAAGGGCCTCATTGGATGAGAAGCCTGGCCCATCTAGATCAGCAACCCACCAATTGTACAGAGCAGCCCACAAATTTACATCTACGCCTTCAGAGGCAGTCACATTGCCATCAAGGCTTAGCAGCCATAGATCCCCATGATTCTCATGAATTGGTGGAACCACAATTTATTTATGCACTGTATTTTTAAAAGCATTCAGTTGTCTTCATTTTTCCAAAATTCAATTGCTCTGTATTGATCTCTAATTCTAGTATTTTGGGAAGGGAAAAACAACTTTTTCTTGTCCACTTTATGCCCACCATGCTTAATTTTCTACACCCTAATCATGCCCCCTCATTTGTCTCCTTTGTAGACTAAAAATTCCCAAATATCTCAATCTTTTCTTACAGTAAAACTGTTCTGATTATCTTAGAGGAAAACTAAGAACTGATTATCCTAATTGTTCTCCTCTTGAAACTTCTCAAATTCCCTTAAATCATTTTTTGAAGTGTGCTGACCAGAACTGCACACAACATCATAGATTGATATAAGGGCATTATGATGTTGGCAACTTCTCTTTCCTCATTAATCACTGCTAGCTCTGATCCTATTAACTTATATGAGGAGTTAGGGGTTTTGGTACAAACATGTATCACTTTACCCTTGCTCACACTGAATGACATCTGGCATTTTGACACACATTCTGCTAATGTGAAAATATTCCTTTGGGGCTCTTCAAAGTCCTTTATTGGTTTTGCTACTCTGAACAATTTAGTATCCTCAGTAAAGTTGGTGATTTCACTAGTCATGCCCAATTCCAGGCCACATATAAAGTATCTTTAAAAAGTATCTTATCTTGGGACATAGCCCTGGAGGACTCCACTAGTTATATTCTTCCATTGTGAGACGCATCAAGAAAAAAAGATAAAATTTAAAGTATTGAATGTGAGTTCTGACCTGTCATTGTGTTAAGCTGTCTTTTGAGTGACAGAAGCACTTATATGAAATGCTTACCTTCCATAAAGAAAGCAATTCAAATGCTACTTCTAAAGTCATGACAAGCTGTATCAGTGATAATTCCTGTTCCCTTCCTTGACCAGCTGAAGCATCTAAACACAACTGAAGCATCTAGAAAAAGTAACTTTCATCACATTAGTGTCAATCCTTTACAGATCATAGGCTTATGAAATGTGAAATTCTGAAGAATTTCACCTGCCAGTTATCATACACAGAGTGTGTATATAACTATGTTTTGGTCATTACAGAAATGACAAGGTGAATGGTGAAGAAAGAATTCCCAGATGATTGTAAGAAGAGAAGGCAACCAGTGGGTGCTGACATAAATGTCATAGAAAAATGCTTATGTTAACTGTTTTCATACATGTGTTGAATTTTGTTGACCAATAGTAAAACTAGAATGTAGTATATTAAAAAGTTTTTTAGACAATAAGGAACAGAAGCCTCTCTGAAACCTCTTTAGCACCTAATAAACATTGGATTTTCAGTTAGTTTATATTAAATGACTACAATTACATAACATCTGAGATAAATCTTTAAATTCTGTTCAAATATCTACTTTGATTTCACCTTTGAATCATAGAGTGAGTGCTAAGTCAGTGTTTGACCAGGGAAACAGGATTTGAAATCTCTCAGCAAGTATCTTAAAGCATTGAAATAAATCTAGATCAGCCATCTAGATCTGGCTCTATTTATTTAAAGAGAATGTACTGAAGTAAAATGTAACATCCCTTGGACGAAAGGAAGGATAACCACAAAATAACTAAATAAATGAAAAAGAACAAGTATTCCCAGAGAATCCCAGATCATATTTAAATCCTTTAAAAGATGTGAAATAATTCCTGCTGAACATCCTGAATTTACATGATTGGGACAAGCTGAATAGAATGTTACAAAGATGTCCATATTCCTCTGGGCAATACCAGGTTCACAAAGTCACAAAGGCTGCAAATTCAACTTTGTATGCTAAAATTGTCTAGGTGACTGTCAATAGGAAACCTTGTGATTTAATGGTAAAGAGTCTGCATAATCATATTTTCCAAATGTGAAGCTTCTAAAATTATTGCAGTTGTGCAGTTCTTTCCATTCATTTCAAAGATTTGACTTGAGAAATTTATCTGCACCTTTAAAAAATATAAAAATGCTATAGCAGCAATTCATGTGGAATTATATTCTTAAAATGCAAGGAGAATCAATGTTTTATTTATTTTCTATATTTGACAGATTCAACATGTAAATGATGACATTTCACAAAATAGTTGATACAGATTTATCCAAATGATTCTATTTGAATCACTCCTTTTAACAACTCTATTACTTTATGCATGAGATTGCAGAGGAAACTAAATATATGCTTTGATATATGATATTAAGCATGCAGAAGGTTGCATATAATCCCTGGGTACTCATTTTGCACATGTGAAAGTTTCAAAAGAATATTCAACAATATTCTGTCAGAGAGATAAAACTAGAAAAGAAACCTATAACCTAGCCTACAGTATAGCATAGTGAATGTTTTCCCTTAGGAAGTAAACAGTGCTCCCTCAATAGCAAACAATGTGAAACTTCTAGAATAGCATAAATAAAAACCTAAAGATGTAACAATATAAATTTAAGCCACCCTAAAATTAGTCACTGCCTGGATGATGGACTAGTTCAAAATACTATTAATTTCTATAATTTCTATTTAATTTCTGCATTATTAGAAAAGCAGGATACAAGACTTAAACATTACAGGCCATATATAACCAGAGCAAAGGCAGTGAGATCATTTTCCAATTCTCAGAGACTGTTTGGACGAGTCCCTACAGTTGTCTTGACAAGTTTTTTTCAGAAGTGATTTGCTACTTCCTCCTTCCTAGGACTGAGAGAAACTAATTGATACACTAACTAACTAGCTGGCTTATGCCTAAAGTGGAATGCGAACTCAAGTCTCCCAGTTTCTAGCCTGATGCTTTTACCACTATTCCATCTTGATGCTATGAAATCACATTTAGGCTCCATGGAAAGCAATGGACAATGTAGACTAAGCATTAATGAATGTAGCATTTGTATATATTTTAATATATTTTAATTGTTTTGTTTTAGCTTTAAAAAGCATTTTCATTAAAAAAATACTAGCTGTTATGAGCATTTTGTAAATTAAAAGGTGACTTAAAACCTAACCAGATTGTGATTCAACTTAATGTCATCATCATCCCCTCTCCTCCCCACACCCAGTTTACTATTTCCTCTTCTACCAAGTTGAGTGAATCATGTCAGGAAACCTAAACTGGAAATAATACCATCTATCCCTGGATTCGCTTCTGAAATTCTAATGCTTTCTGCAGCTAGGCCTCATACTTGAATGACTGTGTATTTTTATAAACAAATCTAAAGTAGGGATTGCAAAACAGGTAATGATGGGCTTCACTTTTTGCGCCCTTGAGCTAGATAATCTATTTGCTGGAAGGACACTGTGAATTCTTTAAAGAGAATTGGGAGATTGAATCTATGGTTATATTACACCAAATGATATTCATACATTCTGTCCTTCCTCTCCCTAGACTGTGAATAGAAGACAAAAGTTAATATTATCCTATTAATAGGGTAATATTAATCCATTCATTAGAGTAATATTAGCCTAATGTTATAAACATACTAAGGCTGAACCAGAAGGACAATCACATTTCAGGAAGCAAAAGAATTAATTTAAGGAGCAAGAAAAGGAAAAAAGGAACATAAATGTTCTTGCCTTTTATTAATTGAGAAAATCGTAAGACTTCTATAATTCTCTTTTGAGAGAAAATAATATATATGAAATATGATAGCAACCCCCTGTTAAGTGCAAAAGATATTCTAAAACAGGATTATAGCTCTTAGAGATATAAATAGTTGGAAATAAAGAAATGAACTTAAATAAACATGTATGATTCATTTTCAGCTCACATTTGGCTGTTTTTTAAAAGCAAAAAACAAACATTTGATCAGGGGAGCCAGCCAAAAAGAAATCAAAGATACTGTGCCTGCATAATTTAAGGATTAGCAGAGTCCAAAATAATTGAACTCAAATGCTAGGATATCTTTTAAAACTATGGAAATCAAAATTTAGCAAAGTAAAAGTGCAATAAGTACTTTTAAAGGTGGACTCTAAAACTGATTCATACATGGCACATGATATCCTGTATGTGAATTCTATGAAAAGTTAGTCTGAACACTGGGGAAAAACACTGGGGAAAAAGCATTTAGTTAATTTTGTTTTAAATTATGCAACTTCCTTAGATTTAATGACCTGTGTTAAAATGTTCAAGTCTGGCCTTATTAATAGATGCAGGCATTTATTTCAGATGCTGAGGAATTATATGACCAATCACTCATTTTACCCCAAACAATAAGACCAATGCAACAATATTTAATCAAGGTGCTAACACGAACCAGACTTCTAATTTGATCCTTTCAGAAGCACATGGCTGCAGATATTTTTAAGGATTTTACTTTCCTCACTACTTCTATCTTGATTACAACTGTGAATATGCAAGTGTGCAAACTTATCTTCTTTGAACACTTTCCCAAAATCTGCAGTCTCAATAAAAGGATGCCCAAATAATAGCAACTTTCACAAAAAAAAAAGAACTAAAGCTATTGAATGTTTCTAAATGAAGATTTCCTAATGCATAGTATTGATTTTCAGGAATGTAAGGGACAATAATAAGAGTCCTTCCTGTATTCATTTTTTTACCCTATTCAGACAGGTGACAATCAAAGGTTATTGGGGAAAAATGAAGTGGGAAGGTTACGAATTATATCTGCACACACAACCAACTGTCTTGTGTTTTTCTTTTTTTCTCCCCTTTAAATATGTGGCTGGGGATATTAATAGTGTGGGCATTAATAGTATTCTTTAAAAATAGTGAAGTAATAAAAAAATCAAGAAAATATTTTATAAACAAAGAAACAAAATCCTGCTGCTCTCTGTGCATGCTTAAGGAAATTGTTATATCCAACTAGGTACTTACAAGTAATAGGAGTAGGAATATGCATTTCTTCTAAATATGCAGTCAGATGAAGGAAATGTCCAATAGTGGGGAAGAAGGAAAAAAGCATAATTAGACTTCATATCAAGGATTTTAAGTTTGAACTGTACATAGTATTGCAGAGCTGACTCTACTACCAAATTTGCTTTCATCTCCTATAGTTATTGAATACTGGTCTAAGGTCTGGTTGCTACTTTCCTCAAACAGGAATGTTTGCACGTGATAAATACAACTGCTACTCGTGTTTTGTATAGTCCTGGGCAAGTCAGTTCACAATGCTTTGAGTTCCTCACCAAACAATAATAATACCTACCAATTATTTTAAGCCTGTTTAGGCATGAAGAACACAAGTTCAGAGGTAACTGAGGTCTAAATTTAAGACTGAAAAATTCATAAGCAAGCTTTTATGGGATTGAAGAAGGGGCTATTTTGTGATTCTGGCAGCAACAATGGTTGCATTCCATGCATCCATTTTTGCCATCTAACCGCTAGTTGCTAGTTTACAGAATAATCAGTAAATATTTTAATTTGACAATCTCAGAATGCCACAAAAGAGCCAAATCACACTGCAGAAAAGTCAATCACATTTAACCACATGACATAAGTAGAAGAGAAAAGTTATCTTAGATCAAGGGTGTCAAACTCGCAGTCACCGGGCCAGATGCATCCTGTGCTGGCCACACCTACCCCTAGTTTAGCGACAGGGGGAAAAGTCGTGATATGTCACATGATGACAATGTGATGCTATGTGTTTGACACCCCCTGTCTTAGATGAAGAAAGAAAGCAGGGGGAGCAGTACGGTGACTAAAAGCAGAAAGAAGAACAATCACACAGTGAGAATAGACTTACTACATGAATAAACAATTTGCAAGGCTGTCCCAAAAATAATCAAGGAAAGGAGCAATGTGGAGACAGCAAGACAAAGTTATGAATTATTTGGCTGAGCTATACTAAATATGTTGATAATTCATTTCCTATATATTCTAATAATGGAATTGCTTTTGCATATGAAAATATAATAAATAAACTCTGCACTTCATAACTCATAATTATGTATTCTAGTCTATAACCTCTTTAAGCAAGCTGTTGTAGAATAATTTGCTAGGAAGAGTATTGTCTTGGCAAAGATTCAAACAACGTCAAACACACTTATAGCAATAGCAATAGCAGTAGACTTATATACCGCTTCATAGGCCTTTCAGGCCTCTCTAAGCAGTTTACAGAGAGTCAGCATATTTCCCCCAACAATCTGGGTCCTCATTTTACCCACCTCGGAAGGATGGAAGGCTGAGTCAACCCTGAGCCGGTGAGATTTGAACCGCTGAACTGCTGATCTAGCAGTAGCCTGCAGTGCTGCATTTAACCACTGCGCCACCTTGGCTCTTACTTGTAACTAGTAATGTACACATACATATTTAATCTGGATGCTTGTAAATCTAGGATTCTCGATTAAACCTGAATTGCCATGCATTATGAACATACATGCAAACACATCTTATATAATTGCACAGAATATCCCACTGGTAAATAAGCTCCTTTGAGCATTAAAATAACCATTTGATGTTCTCTCAAGCTACCTATGAGCCATACAAAGCAGCTATATAACATAGGTTTTGTCAAACCTCGAGAAAGTACATGCATAGTTTAAGTTAGTTAAATGGTGTCATACCAGGATGTAATCTGGAAGATATGATTTGATTTGTTCCTGTCTGGAGTGTATTTTATTTGAAATGTATATGAATAAGGCTTGCAATTGTGCATAAGCACTTTGAAATCAAACACATGTTCACAGTCAATGCACACAGTGCATACTAAATTATCTGCTTTAGAAATAATAACTTTCAAATACTCCTAACATTCAGTTTCTTCCCCTGCTGATGATATATCGTGTTCTTCCTACTTAGTCATTAACCTCCTGAAGTTCATCCATTCATATTGCAATGTGTTACACCTCAAAGGCACCTTGTAAAACAAGGAACAAGTTGTTCTCTTTTGACAAATGTGTCACATACTATTACAGACAACAGACAAAAGCTAAAACTGTACAGTGAGCTATACTTAATATTTAACAGATTTAAAATATCACTGTAGTTTCAAGAGATAGTTCTTGAATATCAGAAATTGTCACCTAAAACATCTTTTAAACCAACCAACCACTGCTCTAAAGACAAAGCTTTATACAATTTTTTTTTCAGTTAAACAAGGGATAGGATTTCTCAGCAGATTAATTTAGCTCTGCTGTCTATTCCATCTTCCTAAATCCAATTTAACTAAGACAATTTGTAAAACTAAGTCACAAGGAGGAAAACATAGGCACAGTTTTTGGTTCCTTTGCATCCTTTCTATTTTCCCTGTTATCAGTATGCACATGCACAGGAACAGTGGAAGTCACCATATTAATTATGTTTTAAGATTCATTAGTGCAAGTGCCACAAGAAAAGGACTTTTGAAATGACTATTAGTTTGCCAACAGTCTTAATTTCCTATTAAGAATATATAGGGCCCAGGAAAAAAAATGTCTCAAACTTCAGTATATGTTGGAATGAACAATATCATTTTCTCCCATTCCAACAGCGAGAACCATACAAATGGGAACATAGCACAGAGGGGATTCTTAACTTCTGAAAACAAATATTCTAAGCAGAGATGACAAAATAAATGACTTGCACACGACTTTTCAAAGCCTTTACGCATACAGCATGAACCCTGCCCTACAGCTTTGGGCATTAAATTTAAACTTATAGCAACCAACCACAATGAGGTTTTAGCAAGCAAAGCTACAACTGCATCATCTCCACAAGTTAAACAATCAAGTGAGTGTTCAGTGTACCATGATTCAAATTTATTAAATATTTAAATATAAATATTTATATATTTATACTGCTAGGTTGTTTAAAGACCCCTTTTTTCCATTCACATTCCACTGAATCCTTAAAAACTCCAGTTCCATATCCGTTATGTTATGGTACCAATATATGGAATTAATAGCTTGAATATTTATGTTTCAATTACTTATGCATGAAATGGAATTTCAAGCACATTTGGTACCTCATTGCCTACATGTTTCCTTCATTCTGATTGATTACACATTTCAGCCTACTGATTAGTTCCATTTCAATCCATGAGACATTGGTGATGACTAACTGAGATCCAATGATTTCAATTGGAGCTTTTAAGTGTAGAATCACTTGATAACACAAAGATTTCATTTCTCATTTGGCTGTTATAAAAATGAGCCAACTTCCAATTTTTAAAGATAATCTCTACATAATACTGATAAATTCAAAAAAGGTCTTTAAAATTATGTAGAAATGTTATGTACAACACGTCTACATGGAGGGATGCATTATTTATTTTGTTCATAATACACTTAAAAATCAGAAAGTCACTCTCCATTATTCTATCAAAGAAAATGCTGCTGGATTCATATTAACTATTCAAGTAAATTTCCATTCTATGAACTTTATTGCTTTCTCGATGCTTCCAAATGTGAATTGCTTGCTATTGCATACAAAACTACTTCTTTACCCAGTTGAAGGAATGGTTCATCTAAATATGTACCCTGGAAACTATTATCTTTGACTGTGGAATCTACAAAAGGAGGATTGCCTAGAATAGACCAGGATGAAAATCTTCTCCTAACAGTTATTCAAAGTACTGATAGGGAAGACATTCTTTTTACTTTTCCTCTTTTTGTTCTAAATCCTTAATTTCTAAACTCCCACTGTGATTATTGAGATTTTGGGTACTCTTTTACCCAATTTTTTGTCATTCTACTTCTATCTTCTCTCTTAAAAGTACATAGACTCCTCTCTATATGTTTATTTCAATGATTAACATATTTTGTATGGACTTTAATTGCTGCATGTGCTGGTATTTTTTTTTAATAAACAATGGTTAAATAATTGCTTCATTTTTTTGACTTTGTGACCTACTATATGTTTTCTGGAAAATATCATGGATGGATGTGAGTCTCACTACAGAAATGCAAAATCTTTTCACGGTTTGTCAGATTTCAGATCTGGTTACAAACAAGAATCTGAATTTGGAATTTCTGGAAACTTGATTGGTTTCTCATCAAATACACATAGATTTTGACAATCAGTGAGATGATAAGAGGTTTTATTGAGCTTTGTTAGGTTATTAGGCTATGGAATCTAAAGAGAACAAGACAGGAATATAAGACATCAAATGGTTATAGCTTTTATTAGAAAAATAGCCCTTCCCCCCAAAATATCTACAATGTTTAAAGTTTTAGTACCAACTAAATGCCTTTAAAAAGAGAAAAAAGAAGGAGAAGGGCATCTTTGCTTTACTGAAACAAAGATAAGATGTTGGATAAGGAAGAAATATCATTTTCATTTTTTCCTTTGTACATACATACATAAAATTTAAAAAAATATCTATCCTATTACTTTCTCAATATTTTTTTTAAAGTCTCAACGAAAGTTTGGCCACGACAGTTTGTATTTATTTGTTTTATTTGTTAAATTTATTTGCTTTATTTTGCCATGGGGCTATACTTCTTTATTCCATCTTCTCACAGTTCTTATAATGAGCACCTTCTCTTCCTAATGAAGCTATTTATTCTTGGAAAAACAAAAAAGCCAACAAAAATAAAGCATTTTAAATAGGTATATTTAAGACACTCCCTCCATCATCTTTCTTATTTTGTTTCTTCCATTTCCATTTCCAAGTCAAAGAGTACTGTATGCCCTGTATAAAATCCAACTTTCTGTCCATGTGCTCATTGCACTTTTCATGTTATATGAATAGGTTTGAATAGGGATTAATTCAAATTCTACACATAGTAAAAGAATAATAATAACAACAAACGTTCTAAAGATTCACAGTAGACTCTCATCACAGATTCCACAAATCAAAATGTTGGAGAGTAGTTTCTAGTTCCAGCTTACTAATAGACACAAGATTAGCCTATGATCCTGATGAAATTGAGCAAATGTAGCATTAAACAATGGGAATTAAAATACCAATGGCACCATAGTCATTT